ATTTCAGCCCTTAAAAACAAAGTCTTGATTTGAGTAAGGGCAACATCATCTAAACCAGCCTGAGCATTAAGAGTAACATATTGGCCTGTGCCTGTTGAGTTGTTCCTTAGTGGGTCCTGGGGGATCACACATAACATTTTTTCTAGCCTGTACATGCGCCTTGTCCATTTACCAGCTATGTAATAGTAACCACTGAGAACGATCAAGAAAAGCCTTCCCCAAAGTCTTCCAGTCTATAGGAATCATCAAATTTTTTGATGAAAAAACATCAAGAAGACCAAGGATAAAAGGAGATTGAGGTCCATAGTTAGAAATGGCAGCTTTCATTTCTTTTAAAAATTTAATTTGTAAGGGATAAAATTGGACATTATTGCCACCATTTAAAAACTGAGCATTAGGAGTAAAAGAAGCACAAATAATTGGAAACAGATCCAGCTCCTTAAATTTTTTATCTTTTCTTTTTCTCCCTCCCCCAGTGGCGGGCAAGGCACTGAGAAAACTTTGCCAGACAAAGGTAAAGGTAAGGAAGCCGGGGGGTTGGAGGCACTGGAAAATCCTCTTTTAACAGGGCAGAAGGAAAAGAAACAGGGAAAGCTCGCAAAGGTGAATTAGAAGAATGTATCTGTAATATTTGTTGAAGTATTTCCATAATACACTGCATGTCAGAATTTCCCTTAGAAGAAGGAAGAGCTGGCTTTTTCTCTTCTCCCCCTTTTGCTACCCCTCCCCCCCCATCCTCTGTTACCCTGGCACAAATGAGCTCCATTTCAGATTTATTTTTTCCCAAATCCTCAGATACCTTTCCTCCTGTGGCTACATTACCACACTCTGAATCAGTCTCAAGTAACTAATGTCTGAGTGATAGAGTTACACAAGGTCCACAATTTTAGAGGCATAATATCCCCTAACTGGAGAGCTCTAAGCAGAGCTTTTACTACCTATAACCATTCTCTCAGATTCAGCTGCACTTTAGTCTGATACTGAAACCAGTAACAATGTTGTTCAACAAGGGCAAACAATCGCTTCAAAGTCTTTTTCTTTCACTTCTACTCCTATAGACAGCAACAGTCCTTGAAACAGGCGTAAATATTCTGAGGCCAGAGAGATGGAATTCCCATAATGAAAGCTTAAGAAGGTTCCCCTTAACAATATCCGGGCCTTACCCGCCCCTAGGGGGTTCCCCTTCTTGTTCTCCCCTACTCACCCGTGCTAACCCTGCTCGCTGCGCCACTTGTTGGGGTCCATGCCGGGGGTGGTGGAGAATGAAAGAACACACAAAAGACAAAGACACACAGAGAACATGGCCGCCGCCAGTGATTCTCCTGCCTCAGCCTCCTGAGTATCTGGGATTACAGGCATGCACCACCACACCTGGCTAATTTTTGTATTTTTAGTAGACACAGGGTTTCACCATATTGGCTAGGGTGGTCTCGAACTCCTGACCTCAGGTGATCCGCCTGCCTCGGCCTCCCAAAGTGCTGGGATTACAAGCAAGAGCCACCACACCCAGCAACTTCCAGATTCTTAATGATGCTCCCTTATTATTGCAGATGCCTGAGTTCTGAAACCAGAAGTTCTCAAGTCAAATCTGTCACCAACTGCTATTCTACTTCCTTTTTTCTCTGTTCTATCCAGTTAAACCCTTACTTGCCCCGAGACATTTACAAAGCTTCCTAACACATCTCTCAGACTTGCAGTCCTTTTCCCTCCAACTTAGCCTAACGCTGATACTGCAATGAGCTTTCTAAAACACAAGGCACTCCCTTCCTCCAATGCCTTCAATGGCTCCCACCTGCAACCAGGATAAAGTATAAACTTCCTATGATGAAATGTAATGTCCTCTACCATACAACTCCAACGTAACTTTTCAAACCAAAGTTACATGATCCCTTCACAAACTCTAAGCCTGTGCTCTGCCAAATCAAAACTCTCCTTGTTCCCTAACCCCATCCTGCCTTTTATGTTTTTACGGCTTTGCTTAGCAAACCTCCAGGCAAAGGGTAGGAACTAATCAATGCCAGTTGATTAATCAATTGAAATCAATACCCTGGCTTCTAATCAATAATAGAATATAGGTAGATTCTAGATTGCAAAATTTTTTTGACTTTTCTTAAAGTTTAAACCTTTTCATAATCAAACACTGGGAAAAACATTAGTTAAATGAATAAATAAATGAGAAAATGAATCAGTTGGGAGCTGGGTTACATTGTCTCCCAAGAATCATACAGTACAAAAAGATATGTCAAGCAGTCTTTCTGAAAGGGGTAATGGGACAGTCTCAAAAAGGAAAGGAGGAAGGGCTTAGCCTCAGGGTTCTAAGTAAATATTTTGACCTGTAGACAACTCTAAGCAATTTAAAGACAACCAATAACTAGAATCAGACTAGAGATAAAAAGTTGGGAGATAAGTCACGACTGTATTGGAAAGATAAGCTGCAAAGAATTTGCTTTTTCAGGCTCCAAGATGTAAGGACACAGTCCTTCCCCCTCTTTCACCACCACCACCCTGTCTGCACTCCAGGGTCTGAGTTAAAGCAATGAAAGCATGTGATTTCATGTTCAAGGTTATACCTATAATATCTCTGAAGGCAGAGAAATCTCAATACCCTGGTTTCAGTTCAGACACGCTGTAATAGCTGTCTTGTAAACTGTCTATTAAGGCTTACGTCTTTGAGCTTGCAAATATAGTATAAAAGTTCAAACTCCATTACTGTTTTTACCAGGAAAGTACAGTTCTTAGCTTTTTGCCCAGCTTACCTCTCTCCCAAGTCAATATAAACGTTAATGAGTCATTGTTCTAGAGGTATCTTTCTAATTCTGAGAAGCTTGCCTACTTCTTTTAAATGTTCTTAGTTCAGTCAATGAAAATCCCACACTATAAAGCCACTGGAAATGTTAAACTAAAACAATCATGTTTGATCTTTAGTGAACCATACTTCCTATTAAGAAGGGATCACTGGCCAGGCACAGTGGCTCATGCCTGTAATCCCAGCACTTTGGAAAGCCGAGGTGGGAGGATCACTTGAGGTCGGGAGTTCGAGATCAGCCTGGACAACATGGCAAAACCCTATCTCCACCAAAGATACAAAACTTAGCCGGGCATGGTGGTGTACACCTGTAATTCTGGCTATTCAGGAGGCTGAGGCACCAGAATCACTTGAACCCCGGAGATGGAGGTTGCAGTGAGCCTGAGATGGTGCCACTGCACTCCAGCTTGGGTGACAAAATGCGACTCTTATCTCAAAAAAAGGAAGAATGGGTCATTACCTATTTACCTTGAGTATCTGGGTGATAATAAACAGATATCTGATGATACCTGAGGCAACAACTGAGTTCCTCCCCTCTCATTGCCTTAGTTCTGTGCATCCCGGGGTAGTATTCAACACTCAATGTTTCCTCTGACAAACTAGATGCTCCCCAAAACAAAAATAAACTCATTTTTAAAAATTCTGTTATATCACTTGCTTCTTGTTTTTATTTTTTGTGGGGGGTGAACTGGTAGACCCAGCGGACTTTCTTAACATACTCTTCTAAGTCATTCAAACTGTCAGTTAAAACCCACCTATTTCTCAGGTTAGTAGAATCCCACCATAAAGTGATTTATAAACTGGGTTTATATAAACTGGGGGACCAACTCCCCCTCCCAAACAACTCCTATAAAAGATTAATAAAACACCGTGTTAAGAACACTGACACTACATTATAAAGGGTTTCCCCTGTATAGATAGCATGAGGTACACATCTAGAATGCGCAGTTAGTCAAAGGGTCTTGACAACCATGCAGACTTTCAGATGCCAACTAAGTCAGTGCAGTGTACTTTTCCAAAAGTGCTCCAATTCTCCTTTTGGACAACTTTCTTAAACGTTATTTATCAAACTAATAAAATGTATTCTCGGTGGACTTTTATTTCTGCTTACATCTTTGTTCTTACTCATCCCAAATCAAAGAAAGGGAAGAAAAAAAAAAGGAGTTGAACATTTAAGCGGGGAAGGAAAAGGTAAGTACTGAGAGGCTCCTTTTTCATTTACTGATGCCAAAACTGAGGCTGTGGAAGATAAGTAATGTCCCTGATGTCATCCAAATAGTGAATACTAGAATCAGGAATTGCACAGAATTGTCCAGCTCCAAAACCCAAGCACCTTTCTTGGGACCCACTGGGGTTGCAGAGAAGGTGGGGGGCTCAAAGGTGACTGCACACGGGTCATGCGTTGCCACAGTCATTATATGGCCAGAGTTTTAAACATTATTTTGTTCTGTCTTCACCACAGACTTCATCATCAATCATAACTGATGAGGAAAATTACACTTAGCTGAAAAGCCAAGTACCGCGCTAGGGAGGCATTTTCTATATGTTATTTCTATTTCCAATAAAACAAGTATTTAAAAAGAAAAACTTATTATCTCCATCTTTCAGATGGCAAGACTGAGGTTTAGTAGGCTTAAATAATTTGCCCAAGGTCACTAACTAGCCAAGGCCAGAGCTGGGATTTAAATACATAAATATTTCAAAGTCCTTTTGCTTCTGTATCACCAAGCTGATCTACACGTCGCAGGGAGCTGCTTCCACCTGTCTCCTGTACCCTTGGTTTCTCCTAATCCTACATTCCAAGAATAAAAGTCTTCCTATGTGTTTTCCTTCCTAGGCTGAAGCCAAGTTTCCCTGCTTTGGGCACGTTCAAATAGAAGGCATTTTCCGCCTCTCCTGCTTCTGAGCACCTAAGAAATCAACACATCCCCAAAAGACGCGTTGAGGTAGTAAGGGAAAGTGTCCTGCACTCGCCACCCTCCAGCGCTAAGAGCGGTAGAGGACCCCACAGCTTCGCACTTCCCCAGAGGAGCTCCTGCAGTAGGAGGCGCCTTCTAGCCTGGAAGAACGCTGGGTGCGACAGTTGTGCCAGGAACTTTCAAGAGTATTCCCTCGGCTGGGCGCACGCAGTGCATCGCCAATGCTCCAACTTGAAAACTTTGACTCGGCCACAACCACCTCATTCCAGTCTCACCCTGCGGCGCTTTGTCCCCTGTTGGTGCTGAGGGCTTTTGAGATCACCTGTCCCGCGCTTCCGACGTCCGAGGGACCGAGGCGAGGACCTGTCCCGCTGAGCCGGCACGACCCACGCGGGGCAGGCAGCACTTACGCGGCGCAGTCGGTGCTCCTCCCAGAGCCGCGGTACGCAAGGACCCCAGCCGGTTGGTTGTGCTTGCAGCGCTTCCCAAGTCAGGCAGAAGTGAGGCAGCCCCACCCAGTCCTGAGGACCCTGCAGAACTCCAGCCTTTAAGCGCTCCTTTAGGCTCACATGACCCAGACCTAGAGGGCAAAAGGTACTTCGTGTCCCCACCTCCTGGACCCAGAAACCTATCCGCACCAAGTCAGCGCTTCCCATGCTGGGTGGAATCTTAAAAATTAATAAAGATCGTCGGCTGCGGTGCAATTCAGGTTGGTTTGTCCCTTTGTTTTATTCTGATTTTGTCTCCCACTTTTTAAAATCTGCTATCTTAGAATTTCAACCCCATATTTTGAAAATATTTCTGCACTGTAGGACTTACTTGCAAGCCCAGGATTTACATTTGGAAAGCGAGTCATGTTTGATTCCCACTGTTTAAAAAGGCAACACACATTCACTGATGGTCTGCATTCCAGCTGCACTAGCAGTAAGCGCGCACCAAGTGCCACTGTCCTGCCAAGCACTCTCCTGAATCGCTGCGCTGGAGTCTCAGAGCCACCTGATGTGTTCTGTATCATTATACCCATTTTGCAAGTGGGGAACACAAACTAAGTGAGGTTAAGTAACCCATCCAGGGTCACATTGCTTTTAAGTGAGTTGAGTGCGTATTATTAACCATCACCAGGTGCTGGGCATTGAGCCAGACAGTACGGGAGCAAGAACTAAAAAAGGCAAGGCGGTTGCAATGGGAAGTAGATAACACAAAATAAAGGAAGGTCATCATTATCAGCAACAGCAGCATCAACTGCCAGACAAGTGGGAGAGGCCATGGGGAATCTTCTGCACTGTCCCCGGCCAACCTCCATCTCCACACACCTAGCTGCAGGAGTGAGCCCAGGGAAACCCGCAGTACAGCAGCCTAGCCAACCTGACAGTCAGGGGAAAAAATTGTTTTACGCCACTTTCAGTTTCGCGTAGTTTGTTATGCAACTAAGGCTAACTAAAGCACTAGTTTTATGAGCTGGAACAAACTAATGTCACTGAGTATCTTTTTTCCTAAGTACCTACTTTATTGGATTGCTGTGAGGACTAACTGAAAAACGATGTGTAAATCACCCCGCACAGAGTATGTGCTCAGTGACTGCAGTCATTCTTTGCTATCATACCTTCTATTTGGAAGTACTTCCTACCCACCTACCTCTTTACGGAGAAAAATCGGTTTGTGGCAAAATAATTTTTTAAGGCCAAAATCAGCCCACCTTTAATATTTGCAGGACCCAGGGCAAAAGTACAGACAGAGATTTGTATGCCAGATACCTAAATATTTAAAAGTTATACACGAAGTTAACAAATGATTAAATACAATAAGTTCTACCTTCCTACCTAGACGAATATGCCTTGGGAATTGACATGAAAGGCCAGATTGAAACTATGGATGATCTGCACTTAAATATGATGGTGCAGGGAGAAGTGGTTTCTAGTTCCTGGTCTGCAGCCACCTCCTCTCTTCCCACAGGGCTCTAGTCCATTGGTGGAAGCTCAGTCCAGCTTCCCAGAAGCAGCTGTCCCCAGCCACTTCTTGGGCTCAAGAGTATGAACACCAAAGTCAGCAATGTTCGCCCATGGGAGTACAGACATTAGCAGACAACACTGCTGCTGGTGTGCAGACCCTTGAAGGAGGCTCAGTGCCATTTGGGGAGGGAATTTGGAATTTGCCTTCTAAAGTGTGGGCCCTGGACAAGGGCTCCTTGGGTCTAAGTATAAGGACAACTACTGGCCAAACAATATCTATGCCCACATGGAACCACTTAAGAATTAAACTGAATTTTACAGTAAACACAGGATGAGTCATACTGTAGCATATTTATTCAAAAACAGGGTGTCCCAAAAGTCTTCCTGCAGTTTTAATAACCTCAAGGCTATAAATGCTGCAACTTATAAGAACACTGTTTGAAAGTTAATTTAACACTATTTATCTCTGTGGAGTGTTGAATAACACATTTTAATTTTCATTTTTGTTTCAGTTCCCCTGAGTGAAATATGGCATACATTAACCAGAAAAGAAAATTACATTTATTAAAATAATTAAAACAGAGTCAAAAGAAGTAAATGTTCAAATGAGTTTTGTAAGTTTGTAACATTTCAACTTAAGAAGTTATTAAAGCTTAAAACTGCACTAACCTTTTTGGGGTACCCTGTATTTGGGTTTGTCGTATGTCAGGTTCTGAGCTAGACACTTGATTAAAAAGAAAAAACAAGGAAAAAGATAGTCTTCTTTAAGGAACTTGAAGTTTAGTTGTGGGGAGGGGATGAAGGGGACACAGAGATTGATCCCATCATACAACGTAAGTGCTGTAACTGGGGCTGATAAAGTGTATGGGGGGAACAGAGGACAGGGACCAAATGACTCTGCTCGAAGAGCCAGGGGAATCCTGTCAGAGGAGGTGACTTGAAGCTGGACATTAAAAAATGAATAGCCACTGAGGGAAAAGGTGGCAGCACAGGCAGTGAGCAGGCCACCTGCACTCAGGTTGATGCTGTGCTCTGGGACAGATGGACTGTGCGACACCAGGCGTGTTCAGGGTGGGTCGGGGGTTAACTAATACTGAGGTTAGAAAATTAGACCGGAGCCAGCTTGGAAAGGGCGTGAATGCTGAGCTCTAGAGACTGATGTTGTTCAAAATTAGTAGATTGGGAAATCTGTTTCTCTTTTTTTTTTTTGAGATGCAGTCTTACTGTGTCGCCCCGGCTGGAGTGCAATGTCGCAATCTCAGCTAACTGCAACCTCCACTTCCAGGGTTAAAGTGATTCCCCTGCCTCAGCCTCCCGAGTAAGCTGGGACTATAAGCGCCCACCACCACGGCCAGCTAACTTTTTGCATTTGTAGTAGACACGGGGTTTCACCATATTGGCCAGGCTGGTCTCGAACTCCTGACCGCAAGTTATCCACCTGCTTTGGCCTCCCAAAGTGCTGGGATTTCAGGTGTAAGCCACCGTGCCCAGCCTGGAAATCCATTTTCTTAAAGAAAGAGAATAAAATAGAACAAAACAGTACAGAACATAATAGAACAGGAGTATGTGTTTTCCAGGAGGTTGTAACTGAGTGGCTATAAACAGTAGAAATTTATTGTCTCATAGTTCTGAAGGCTACAAGTCTGAAATTAAAGTGCCAGCAGGGCCAGGTTCCCTCTGAAACCTGGAGGGGAAGGATCCTTCCTCGCCTCTTCTAGGTTCTGGTAGCCCCAGGTGTTCCTTGGCTTGTGGCAGCATCCATCCACCCTCTGCTTCAGCCTTCCGGGGCTTTCTCTCTGTGTCTTTTCGCAGTGTCTTCCCTCCATGTGTCTGTCTCTGTGTCCTAATTTCACCTACTTACGAGGACACCAATGACATTGGATTAGGGCCCGCTCTAATGACCTCGTTTTAGCTTGATTACTTCTACGAAGACTCATTTTCAAAATAAGGCCACTTCACTGCTGCAAGAGATATTTTTAACCCTTTTCTTGTACTGAGAATAATCAAAGGTGGGCCAACAAATTGGTTTGCAAAGAGATTCGTTAAGCCTTCTTCTCTGATTGGCTTTCTTGAAAACAAAAATTTAAAACTGTCAGGTCAATCACAAGCCCTTGTGTTCTCTACACTTGCATATTCTAGCGAGGTTTGGGATTGTTAAGCCCTAGTGGTTCAGAGCATGGGTCAGACCCAGTTCGAATCTAGAACCTTGCACCAATGACCATAAGCAAGTTACTTAATCTCAGTTTTCTCATCTGTACATGATAAAAACACTATTAGCTATCTTGCAGTGTTATTAAGAGGAAGAAATGAGATAGGAGTACATATAAAGTGCTTGTCATATATAAAGGCTCAATAAATGGCAGCTATAACAATAATAATGGTGATCATGACAATCAAGATTCTAGGCTATGACTGCAGTTCTTTCCAACTGTCTATCCAAGACAACTAAATTGTATCTGGACACCACATAAAAGCATGCCTCTCACTGACCTATAGCCGGAGCTTTGCTGTGCCCCTTAAATTCCAGTTAAGAAGACACAGAGAACAGATCATTTACACATCTTGATCAGGTAAATACAATTCCAATTGTCTAAGTGTGTAGGTTTGATTTTACATTTGCAGCTGCTGCCACTAAGACAAATGTGGAGCTGGAATGGAAACAAGGGGAATTGATTAACCTTGTAGGCAATCATGCCCCTCTCAGAAGTGTCTAGGTCTCTCCCTGCACTTGTCAAGGCTTCTATAGCCATTGTTCCTTTACAGTGTTATTACTGATCTTCAATGGGCCGCCTCGCAACGTGGAAACACAGCTCAGAGGCACAGCGAAAAGAGAAATGCCACAGCCCCATGTGCCACAATTAATTGTTCAATAAACACTTTTCTTAAGGAAAGAAGCCAGATGTGTCACACCCACACACTTGCAAAACAACACTGTGCTATTAAAAAAGGGAGGGGTGTGTGGTGGATCCAGCTGAAGAAAGTCTACAGCTGTTCTGCACCTTAGCTATAAGCACTGAAGGCTTCATTAAGTGAGAAGTAGGCCCAGGTGGCGGTAACCAAACTATAAGACACAGGCACATGCCCTGATCAACTTATTGAAGTGCTTCAGTCTTCTTGTACTTGGTAAGGAAGGGGCACCTCTTAAGACTAGCCACAGGCTACAGACTCCAGGGAAGTTGTGGATAATTACATGGTAATTATTTCTAATAAGTGCTTCCACTCTCAGCATGATTATCCTTCCCTGGGTTGCTTGCCTCCTTATGCCTGGTTTATGTAGGGAAACAATGTCCAAATTAATCTACGTCTTTTGTAAGTGAGCCTATACCCCTTTGATGATCCAGATGGTTTAGCGCCCTTTAGCAGCAGGTGTTAAGGCTTTCTTACAAAAGGCATATTTTCAGTTTCCCTTTGGCTATGGAAAAAGCCAGGCAAATAAGACTTCGGTGGTTTAAGGATAAATTATGGGATTAATATAGACATGGCCACTAAGGACAGCTGAGCAAGCCCTGTGTAAAATCAAGAGAAATAATCACAGCAAACCTTTGGAAGGATTTTGTGGTTTGCCCAACAGTTTTCATATATATAAT